CAGTGAAAGGCTTTTCAAGTCTCCAGGTCATACTTCTGATCCACATTTGGTTTCTCACTTTAAGATTCTCACTCAGCATTTTCATCATTGTTTGTATTTTATGTTTGTTGGTGTTGTTATTTGTTGGTTGTGGTTAGTATTACATTTTTTGTGCGTATACAGTTGTTTCTTTTGTTTTCTACAGCTTACTTTCAATCACTTTACGTGTCCGATTTTTATTGTTGCCTCAGCTCAAATTTATTTCCCTGCTTAAAGAGGAATTGTGGCATTATAAAACACTCTTGACTGATCACCAAGAGTGTACAGTTTATTAGAATTATTGTGCTGACGCGGAGATTTTATCGCTGGACGAGTAATTTAAAGGTTGATTTTGATTATTTTATTTATGCAATAGTTTTTTTTATTGTGGAGATAAGTCTACCTTATTTCCTCCTACACAAAATTCAGCTATTTGGTGGCAAAGACCAAAAATATGTTTGGAGAGAAAGTGAGGCCTTTAACCCGGCGGTGGTAGTGTTATCCTCTGGGTTACTGCCAGTGGAACAGGTGCTTTAAGTAAATGGATTCATGACGAATATGGATTGCTTCCACGTTAATCAGGAAAACCTGAAATCGTCAGCCGAAAGGTTGTGTCTTGAACATAGTTGGGTTTTACAACAAGACAGTGACCCAGAACATACATCCGAAGTGGAAGACTAAGTCAGGCTAGAATTAAGGTTTTAGACTGGTCTTTCTAAAGTCCAGACTTAAAACCCCATTAAGAATCTGTGGACTGTGATGAAGACATTAGTCTGTCAGAAAGCCAACAAATTTATTTGAACTGCTTCAACTGTGCCAAGTAAAGTGATCAAAGATCACAATACAATGAGAAGTTTGCCAAAAGCTAATAGTTGAGGTGAAAATGGCCAAGGGACATTCAACCATTAGCAGATTTTGTAATTTTTCCGGAAGACCTGTAATAAATCTATGAAAGAACCAAAATGCATAATTGTTTTTTGTGGTAAAGACATAAGTGTTTTAATGATTCCACCTTAGAAATTTAGGAGCTGTAGGAGTCGTTGGAAAGTCAAGACTATCATGATATGCGTGGTTTTTACAAGTGTATGTAAACTTTTGTCCACAACTGCACAGTGAACCAATAGGTGGCTATTCAGGTCCAGTCTGAGTCTGAAAACCCACATTTTAAATACTCCGGGTCATGTTTTTGCCATCTTGCGTCCCGACATCAACACAAACTTAAAATGAACATCAGTCCATGAGTCCAACCTGAGACGCACATTGTATATTATTTAAATTTGACCAGCTGTCCGCGACCCACTCAGAACAGGTCCGCGACCCACCCTTGGGTCGCGACCCACCAGTTGAGAACCCCTGCTTTAGACTGTCTTCACAGAAGCTCTCAATACTGTCATGTGAGTAAGTGTGAATATGAAAGTGCCTGAATATTTCATATGACCACATGTTGTTTCTTATACAGTGATGGGACTTGAGAATTCATTTAGTCTGTTTTCATAGTATTGCTGCAGCACTTTAACTGCCCACGTGGCCAAAGTTTAGCCTCAGCACAAGCCTAAGCCAGCCTTTTACAACAGTCAGTCCTGATGTTTTAAAAATATTTATTGGGAAAATAGGTCAAGTATTTAAGCAGTAATTGAAATGATTTACTTCAGGTAAGGTTTCTGGCAAAGAGGACATCTTGAACTGAACATTCTTGGTTCCCCTTGGAGGTCATTATTTTGCCGGTGTTCCACTCTGAACATTTTCCAGTTGCCATTTGTTTGTAAAGATGTTTGATTATACTATAGGATGTGGAAAGCCAAACTCTCCTGCATGCCGTCATCTCAGCTGGCACTTGACTTTGATAATGCATGAAGCACTGGCATGAAAATGTAGATTTTTTTTTTATGTTTTCCCTTCAACATGTTGTCTTTGCTTTGTTGTTTGAATGTGTTTCTGTGTTTTGTGTTTAGCTTTAATTGTTAAAATAAAATGTGATTGCCCACCGTCTGATAGTAAAGTATGTATTGTTGTTTTTAGATGTATGTTCAGACTGTTTGTGGCAGAGGGGAAGGTTGCTTTGGTGAAGGGGACCTCTTTATTTCTCCACTCTTTGTCCTCTCTTTCCCCCATGTATGTCTCCTACACTTTGGTGCACCACTTCCTACGCCTCCCCCTTCCTCCTGTTTGTCCTCCTCCTGCCCTACTCTTCAGCCAACACGCCTGCCGTCCAAGAGGAGAAGGGGGCTTGCTTCCGTTTGGTCAGCTCAGGGAGGCAGTGTTTGCACCCAGTGTCTGCCCAGCTGAGCAAACAGCTCTGCTGCTGCAGTGTGGGCAAAGCCTGGGGCCCTCGTTGTGACAAATGCCCCCCTCCAGGAACAGGTAAGGCCCCCAGCCATGCCAGACACTTGTCCTGTCTCAACAAGGCCCTGAAGTTACTTTTCTTACTTTTTTGGAGCAAATGTAAAGCCAGACACCAGTCAGCGGTCTTGCAATTAAATTTGGCCTTGCAAATCAGCAAATGTATACATAAAGCTGAGACACTCAGATCTGCCCAGTGGGCCAGAGTCCTGTAGAATCTGCCCCTCCTTCAAGTTAACAAGCCACAAGAATAGACTGAGTACCAATGATCTGACAGGCGAACAACTAAAACATTGCGAGGTCTACTCCCGTCACTGCTCTAGAGACTGTTCATTATAAAACTGTTGAAATGGCCTTTTAATAGTGTAAGCTTGAACTCGTGTCCTTTTCTTTTATCCTGATACTTTCTGTCTGCATGGGTTTCACAGCTTGGCTGAGTAGCTGCTTTTAGAGTTGCTTTTAGATTACATTAGCAAAGTCTTTTGCAGTAGCTGGTATTACGCTTACTCTTACCACTTTCCTGTTTTCTTTATTGAGTTCCACACTATGTCAGTACAGTTTACTGCCAACACTCGCAGGTACTGTAGCTGTATCCCTGTCCTGTGCATTTCAGTTTGTTAAAGGTGTACATACGATGCTGTTTGGAGTCATGCAATGGTTCCTGTGCCTTCAGGTTTTTCACCTCATCATGTTACCAGTGTTTGTGATAACTTGACTGATCAGCATATTGTTTCCAACACAGTATTGAAGAGGTTTGCTGCTTCCTTTTGATGAAAACAAGCCACACTTTGTATTACACATGCCATTTAGTCTTGGAACAATCATAAGGTTTGTCTCTGCCAAAGACTCCACTTGCTAAAAATTGTTGGATGCCTTTCAAGATAGTACCAAGTAGAACCAATTGTTATGCATATTCTTCAGGTCCCTTGTCTTGCCAGTTAAGTAGGTTGGTACAGTGGCTCAGGCAGATATTAGTGTTTAAACTGTAAGGAACAAACAAACAACAAAACACGTTGTCTTTAACATTTTTAGCTGTCATTTTTCAGACAGTTTACTGTTATTTTACACATTTTTCTTGTTTTGTTAAATTACAGATAATAGCTAGTAAAATCACATAAAAAAAATACAAATTTACATTTTAACAGTGAGAAACGGACAATATCAAAAATCTGTATTTTTACAGATAAAAACTTGTTTACAGGCCTTTATTAATTTGTTTACTATTTTACTGTATTTTAAACAGCCAAAAATATCTTTATTTTACAAATATTTGCCATTATTTAAAAGATAAATTATCTGTATTAAGTTTTGAAAAATGGCAAATAGTTGTTTGAGTGTTTTTACAGATTTCTCCTGTTTTATTAAATTACACACCTAAAGGCAGGCCTTCACCTCCCCTATTCTGGCACTCGTGCTGACTCTGCTACATCTGTCTCATTAACAGCCTTTACTATCAGTTAAGATTTGCAGACTGAAGTTACTGTCACTGCTTTCAGTTTTGGTCAGTAACAAAGATGTTCCAGGTCATGTAAGTGAAACCATGTGTTACTGGCCCGTATAAATGATACAATGTGGCAAATGTAGTAATGGTTCAGGTCCCTAATGTTATATCTACTCATTCAAACACACTGGTTAAATAACAGAATGGATGGTGCATCACTGCAGAAATGGCCTCCCAGAGCTGTGGAGCGGTGGGGGTGTCAGCGAGGACAGGGTGTGGTGAGGGTTTGAGGATGTTCTTTTGCATTTTAAATTTGTCAAGACATGATGTGAAGGCATGCCTAAACTAAAGCAGGGCATTAAGTTGCTCTTTAGTAAATAGTTCACATAACATGCAGGTGCTATATGCTGAAACCATTTAGTGTGTTCAGTAAATATTTTATATAGAAAAGGTTGTGTATCAAAAAGCTTGGGAGGTTTCTTTTGTTGTGGAAACAACTCAGAAAGCCCATTTCTTTTAACACCTGTAAAAAGCAGCAACGTTAACTGCAAGGTGGAGTTCTTCTCGTCGCTTAAAGCTAAATACTATTGTTTCATTAAATGATTAGTTAGAACCTAGAGTCTGATTCATAACTCAACTGACTGATGTCATTGGCCAAATGAAAAGTACAAGAATGAAAATTTTAATGAAGGCAAAGCAGTTTGTCACACACACAAGTTTATTCTTAGGTTGTACATTCTCAGGAATCACATAATATTTGAGCTAAGGGACACAGGCTTGAACAAAAGCATCCGTGGAAGGTTTCTGATAGAAGCCAAAAACAGGAACATCTTCAGCATGTAGGTTGATTTTATGTTAGGACACCTCACATATCTCCCATCTACAATTAATATTCAATGTGAATCCTTCTCCATATTTATCTAAGTGAAATGCAAACTCGATGAGTCACGTGTCTTCAATACTCAGGTTATTATTGCCTTTTTTTTTAATCATGTGGGGGTATGGGAAAAAAAATGTTCACAGGCTAAGGGATTTGCATTGCTTATAATAACAAGAGTTGAAGGGTGGAAAAGCTGCAACACGGAGAAGGCACTAATGGAACCAAGCTCATGTGTTCATCTTTGTGTGTTCATCAGAAATATTTTGTTGGAGTGCTTCATATTGCTACTGAAGTAAGATGTGCAAAAGACAGTTTAAACATGACAAGCCAAGCTGTTGCGTAAAATAGAATTGATTGTTTTTCAAATCGTGTTTGTATTTTGTTTCAGATTCATGATTCAATTATGTATTTATTGAAAATGAACATTTCCATGTTTCTGTGAGTGTATCCAGCTGAAAGAAACTGTGTAAACTACAACCTTATAGAACACGTTACTCCAAAGTCTAATGGAAGTACAGTTACAACTAAATTACCAAAATCAGCACATCACTTGTATAATAACAACTTATGTTTTGTGTTGTAATGTAGCTAAATTCAAAGAAATCTGTCCTGGTGGAATGGGCTACACTGTTCTGCCAAATCCTCCGGTCCACAAGCCAGTGAGTGTTTACCAGGAGCCTACTGACCTGTTACTCCCACAACCCCTGCCAACCCCAGAGAGACCAGTGGAGGCTTTTGGGAAACCAGAAGAAACTATACCAGGTGAGTGTTACATTGACTATTACAATTATCAGTTTTTAACACACTGAAGTTGATCTAAGATTGTGGGACAACAGATTAAATAAAGTTACCCAAATATGATTTTCTCCAGTAATCTCTCAAACTCCTTCTGTGTTTCTTCTTACTGAAGAGGATCTAAGAGCCATCACCAACACCCTGCAGACACATAGTTAAGCATTTTCACTATGTGTATCATCAATTTCATGGGCCAACAGAAAGATTGCATCACAGCAACTCGCAGTTACTCTCTCTCTATATTTATCACTCCAAGACACTGGAACTGTTCCATGTGGCATATATATTCTTTGTAATAATCTAAGTTGGACAATTTTATTACTTAAGGGATCTTACTGCAAAAGTTTTGTGTCTTTTGGTCTTCAGTCTAGACTCTGGAACTGACATTCGAACCTTTGTGGCATCAGCAGTGTTAAAACTTAAATATCCTTTAAGGCCAGTTCATAATAAAATTTCAATGTGGCCAACAATAAGCTGCTGACAAAATGATCAAATGCAATGTTCACTGTTTCAAACAGTAACCTTGCAACAGCATTATATACCATCTGAAGCTGAGATGGGATTTTATTTACCACTGTCCACTGAAATACAGTAATTCCAATTTACCTTACAATTCAACAAGGAACTACTGATTCTTAGAAACTTAAGTCTAAGGAAGGCTTTCCCTGAAGGAATATATAAAAATACTACATACAAGATGCGCTGAAGCTCCCTCAAAGCTTCTAGAGCTTCTACTAATGATAGTTGTAATTTAGCTTTTTGCAGCAAAGTCTGTATTCATTTTACTCAGGACCAGTGCAAGGCAAAACTTCACAATCTTTGTATTTTGTTATATTTTCTCTTTACACATCTGGAGTCACCAGACGATAGCAAATGAGGTGCAAAGTACTGGGTTCACCCAGCCTGGATGGAGGACAAGATGTTGGTGGATTTTGCTGTGTGCCAGCATGTTTGACTTGGGACTACAATGATTTTATGTAAAGGACCTCTGAGTTGTTGTTGTGTATGAGCATAACCCAGACGGGTGCCTGTTGCTGTCGGTCACCCTCAAGGCTGTTGTTTAAAGTCATATAAAACAAAAAAAATCCAAAAATAAAAACATGATGTGGACTCGAATTAGGCTGAGTCAGTAATGATAAACTCAATCCCTTAGTGCCACTAAATGGACACAGATTCCATTGATGAGATGTCAGACTGTAAGTGTTTGGAAGAGCGTGGTTCTATGAAACCACCATTTGTACCTGATGTAGAAAATCTTTAAAACTGCTAATTGATCATCAAAAATTGCATTTAATTTTCTGCCAGGCCACAGTGTTGTTGTATTTGAAGTAAATGGAGGCAGGGGAACAAAATATTATGATTTCATTTATGCAGTGCAGAAAGATACTTTTTTAAAGGTTTTTTTTATTGCACAGTTTTTTAATGACCGATGAAGATGTAACACATATCAAACAGTGAAACAAATTTTACTTCCTCTCTTTTGTGAAGTGTAGTATCAATTTATCAGTGTCCCATTGAAAAATGTCCAAAGTTTTGAAAAATACAACTCCAAAATAACATGAGAAAGTCTTATTTATGATCCCTTTTGCGTGTGATTAGGAACCTAGATCTTAAAAGAAACAGCCCTCTTGGGACATTTGTTTGTAGAGCACGAGGATTAAAGTGCTTTGGCTCAGCACACATTTACTTCAAACACAGCTCAGAGAGAGAGAGAGAGAGAGAGAGAGAGAGAAATAAACCTGACTGAGAGAAGGAGAGGAGTTTCAGCCTCTCCTGTTATTATTCAGGACATGCTTGGCAGCCACCAAGGGAGGGAGAAATGTTGCAACATCTTAGCCAAAGCCAGACAGAGTCCAAATTACTGCTAAGCTTCGCTGGAGCAGAGGACTACCGAGTTTTCCAGGCACACAGGACAGGCCTCAAAAAAACAATCTGACAGACATCCACCGCACAAAACTTGTGTAGATTAGTGTTTGGATACCACCAGAAAGTAATGAGGCCCCTGGCAGCCGTACACACTGGCATTCTGGCATAGCAGAAAGAATGTAGTCCGCAATGCTTAGGATCTTTTCACGACACCTAGACCTGTGCATAATTACTGAACATGGTGTTTACTAAAGGTTCTACTTAAAGAAATGTCTAATATGGATATGCAGTGACGGTGTTTCATACATGTACATATTCGCAAGTGTATGTAAACTTTTGTTGAAAACTATAGCCTCCAATCATAAATGACTGTCTTTGCATTTCTTTCGCTGGTTGTGGAGAACCATAGAGATTATTCCTGTGATGAGGCTGACTTCTTATAGCTATATATTGAACTCTAGCCTGCAAACATGCATTTTCAGAACTAGATTTGGACAACATTGTGAAGTGATAAGGTAAACTGTAGCAGTAAAACAGCAAAGTACTTCCTTTGCAAAGTAAGGCAGCAATCCATTTAAAACACTCACCAGCTCTTCACTATACCACAAATCCAAAATCTATTGGTATCAGTGGAGTCTGTAGATTGGTTCACAGAGGTTAAATAAAACATATAAATTGTTTATATAAAACTTGGCTTTCTGGAACCTGAGCTTAATTTGAACTTGAACAGTGAGTCCCTGTTCAAACTTTTGAGGGAATGGGGAAAGTCTAAAACACGTAAAGTTATTTAACTGTTAGCTGTGATGCACCATGTAGTTTTATGTAACACTGTTCTGCTCCAAAAGAGACGAGGTCTGAGCTGTCATCAAATAGCTAGTAGGCTTTGACAGCTATTGTGTCTGACCAGAGCTGATAGTGGATAGCTCATCCAAAAGAGTAGCACACTGCATAGCCAAGATGGTAGCATGATTCCTTTTACAGATGAGGATTTACAGATGATCTTTGCTGTGCCACCTTCTGGTGAACCCATCCCAAACCAGCTTTGGATTGATCCTTCTAACATGTCATGTTCGGGTGTCCAGAGGTTAATATTTCTTCTTCCACTATGCTGTAGCGAATGATTATTGTCTGAGAACAGTGCAAACAAAATGTGCAATTGTTCTGCTCTGGCTGACATGTTCATTAAAATAACACAGGCATTGTGTAGAATAGAATAGAATAGAATAGAATAGAATAGAATAGAATAGAATAGAATAGAATGTTTTTATTGTCATCATACACGAAGTACAACAAAATTAAAAGACAACTCCAGTGGTGCAAAATACAAGTATAAAAGACAAAGTAATTTATTATTGCTAAATCTAACAATCACTGTCCACTGCCCAGCTGCCTAAAATATGACCAAATTTGTGGTTGGATAAATCCATAACAAGTGCAGTTCACCTCAGTGTCCATCTGTTTTAGGTGACAGTACTTTTAAGAAAATCTACATACTCATGAGCCATATGAACTAATTAGCGTCCTTAAAAAGTAACAGAGTGATTCTGACCGAGAACAACAATACACAGTAGAAAAGTCAGACTGTATTCAGACTGTATTCAGACTGTAATCAGAGCTAACTAATGAACATTTCAAGGGATTTTTTTGACAATAGCAAAAATATAAAATTTCCAAATTCTTTGCGCTGAAGATATTCAGCAAACACGTATTCTTTAGATGAAAGACGAGATAGATTTAATGGATTAGACCATAAATCTCCAAACTCTATTCCCATCTGCATTGACGCTGTATATATTATTAGAATCCTTAATTAAAAATTTTGTTTCTTTTTTCCTTTTGGTCAGTAGCAACAACTGCACCAGATCAGGTAGGTTGGGTGGTTTACAGAGTGAACATTTAGAAGCAGTTTGCATGCACAGACTCACTCCTGTCAGCCGCTCAGGAGTTGCAGAATCACCTTTGCATGAAGTCAGCAACTTTGCTGCATGACTTTGGCTGGTCAGCTCTGAGCAGCAAGTCAGTGTTTATACCTTTGATGTGTATATGTACCTCCAGTGACTGAAACCCTTGGCACTGACCCAAATTCAGACAGAAGTCTATGCTGAAGCAGCAGACATTTTCTTGCTTTCTGACTTCCTCACTGAGCTGTTCATTCTTGCTCTGTTAATAAGCTGCAGTCAGTTTCAATGCAAGCTGAATGCTAATCTGCCTCCCAGTACAACACCTACATTGCATGACAGAAGCAGTTTGCAAAACTTAAATGAGTACATTTCAACTGAAACATGTCTACAGTGCTCTGCTGATCTTGTCCCTTTGGTATTATTGTTTGTGTCTTGTTATTGAAGGAGCTGGTAGTGCCTGTGGTTAGCAATAGGCCAGTAGTTGAACCTCTCCTGCCCCAGCTATCTCCAGGTGTGTCCACTGTCAAGATGGAGGCTGCCTACCCAGGTGTCTGCTTCACTCCCTTTTAAACTTTGTGGTACGGTGGCCAGTTTTGGACATCTCAGACTCAGCTTGTCAAGCTTACATTGTTCAGACTGCAGGATATTTCTGTCTCATATGTTTTGTTACTGTGTCAGATTAGACAGTTACTGACTCCTACATTTTTGCTGGGACTTGGCCAAGAGACACAATGACAAAACTTTGGTCCCAACCAATCATAGCTAGCCATTTCACACCAACGTGTGATGTCATTGTGAAGGAGCTGTTAGGGTCCAACTAGACACAAGAATAGAAGTAGTGTGTATGATATGGTCTATCCTGTGTTCTTAAACGCAAAAGAAAAAAAACAAAAACAAAATGTGGACCCAGCAGTGGCTTGCACCGAAAGGACAGCATGACTTTATCCTTTAGTCCATCACTCACTTCACCACATTGTTCAGAAGAGAGTGCTCTGTATGGCTGTCTTGGACACATTGTGTCATATTACGTGAGAGAATGTTAGACAATTCTGAGGCTTGTGTTTTTGTTGGAATATGGAGAGGTTGCATCATCTGTGGTCAACAACAATGCGCTACACGCAATAAACTGATCAGTTGTAAGACCTGACACCATTCATCTTTTGTTTAGGACCTTGTGATGTTGTGTAGTCTGAACCCAACATTAGGCCACCTTGTCAGGCTCAACCATACTCAAGTTCAACTGTAGTTTATTTGTACTGTAATGCTGTAATGTGATGTTGAAATTCTAACATTAGCACAGCATTAAAATTGAAGCAAATAGCAAAAGAACTGTGCTAATATTAAGCTGAAAACCCAACATGTAACGATTCTGCAGAAAATGTTGAAATAGAGCTCAGGCTGCTGAGAAACAGCTGAGTCCTGTGTTGCTGACAAGATGAGTCTGATGTCCTTAAAAGGCCACTGTGCTGCCATCTTTCACACTGGTATTAGAAGGACTTAAAACTATTTGTCACTCCTTTATTGATTCATTTTGTTCTTCCTGTATCGCATCTTGCAGTGTTATTTTAATTTAAGCCAGTTACATTTTCAGAACAGTGCAGCTCCTAGATAATGGAACTGCCAATTGTCTCTTCATTTCTCTTTCCATCTTACTCTTTAGTCCTCATAATTGGATACAAGAGTACAGATTAGCAGATAACATATACACCACTGACAGGGGAAGAGAAGATTATCTCATAATACAATAACACAATGTCCTGCTGGGATTCCTTTTAGTCAGAATGTGTAGCACCTATGTAAACATTGTTGTAGACCAAGGGCCCAGGGCACTGGCTCTCTTCCATGGCAATGGAGCCCAAGCCGTTTAACCAGCCTCCAAACTCGTTAGATCCCAAACTGATTGAACATCTGCAGCACTCAAACAGATTCAACAGAGGTTCCAACCCACAGGACCCCAAGGTTCCAGTGCCAGACACCACGGGACACGCCTAGAGGTCCCATGTCCATGCCCAATGGGTCAGAGCTGTTTTGGCAGCATTGTATTAAACACTGTTACAATTTTGCTAAACCAAAACAACCCAATGTGTTGGATATCCAACACACAACACAATGTCCAGTTTTGCTGTGCAGTTATGCAGCAGGTACAGAAGATGTGAATGCAATGATTTCAG